ATGTGACTACATGGTGCTGGGAGCCAGGCTCAGAGGTTTGGGGGCACAGGTGGTCTTCTCATCCATCCTCCTGGTCAGCGGTCATGGACAGTACCACAGCAACTGTGTTAGAGAAGTCAACTCATAGCTTTGGAGCTGGTGCCATCGTGTGGGGTTTGGACTCCTTGACCATGACCTGTACTTCCAGGATAGGGCCTTGTTTGGATGAGACAGGCTACATCTCTCTCCAAGAGGTAAGAGTCTCTTCTCTTACAGGTTGGCTTATCTCCTACGCAGGGCTTTAAACTAGGTTTGTTGGGGGGGGGCGGGGGGGGGGCGGGGGATGTTGATGACAGTAAGGCCAGGAATTATATGAACCATGAGCCAGGTGCTGCAACAGTCCAGGTAAGTACCAAGGCCCCTCATAAGTATCAGGATGGGGAAGTACTAAGGACACCTAGTGGAGGGCTTAGATGACTATATACTAATGCTAGGAGCATGGGGAAACAAGCAGGAGGAACTTGCACTCCTGCATGCAAACAAAGAATTCAACCCGTCTGGGCTAACAGAAACCTGGTGGGACCCATGACTGGGCAGTGGGCATTAAAGGGCTACAGGCTGTACAAACAGGATAGAGCGGGGGGGGTGCATTGCTGTCTCTGTTAAGGAGCAATATACATCTTCTGTAGTTAAGCTAGGCCTACAGAAGAAGGGCAAATTGAGGTACTATGGGTCAGATTACAGGGGGGTCAGGGAGAAACAGACTTGGTAGTGGGGGTCTATTACAGACCCCCACACCAGGGAGACGAGTTAGACCTAGAATGCGAGACAGCTCTCAGAGGCAGTGCGCTCAAAGGACCTGGTTGTCATGGGTGACCTGAACTTCCCACACATCTGCTGGGAGGAACAGGCAGCCAGGTCTCCCCTTCACGTATGTTTCTAACCTGCTTACAGGACCTCTACTTAAGACAGGATTTAAGTGTTCCCACTAGGGGAAATGCCTTACTAGACCTGGTGCTGGCCACATGAGATGACTTGGTAGGGGATCTGCAGGTACAAGGTAACCTAGGGGATAGCAACCACCTATCAAAAGAGTTCCCTATACAGCAAAAGGTGGGAAAGATAACTAGTAGGGCTAAAGTGCTAGACTTCAGGGAGGCCAACTTCAACAAGGTCAGGAGATTACTTAGGGAGGGACTGACAGGCAAAAGCATCGGAGAGATGGGAGTCCAGGAAGGTGCACGTTTCTCAAGGGACTGATCCTGCAAGCACAGAAAGGGACCATCCCAGTACACATAAAGGGGGGCAAAAGAGCAAAGAAACCCTCTTGGTTGAGCAGGGAAATCCAGGAGAGCCTGGAGGGGAAAAGAGAGGCCTATAGGCTGTGGAGGGAGGGGGCAGCCACCAAGGAGGAGTATACCTGCTTGGCTCAAGCTTGCAGGGAAGCAGTGAGGAGGGCCAAAGCGGAAACGGAGCTTAGGCTGGCAGCAAACGTTAAGGATAACAAGAAGTCATTCTTTAAATACATAGGAAGCAAAAAGAAAGAGCAGGGTAATATAGGGCCCCTTCAAGATGGACTAGGGCAACTGGTAACAGATGGGATGGCCAAAGCGGAGCTCCTAAAAGATTTCTTTGCATCTGTGTTTCTGGACACAGATACAAGCATGCATCCCAATGGGACTTTAGGTAAGCGTGAGGTAGATACCAATCCACCAACTGTTAGTGCTGACCTAGTAATAGGGCACTTGGAGGGGTTCGATGTATTTAAGTCAACAGGCCCTGATGATCTTCATCCTAAGGTACTTAGGGAATTAGCTGAAGTTATAGTGGAACCCCTGGCGTGACTGTTTGTGAACTCATGGCGCTCAGGACAGTTCCCAGATGCTGAGAAAAGGGCCAATGTGGTACCTATTTTCAAGAAGGGGAGGAAGGAGAAACCAGGTAACTATGGGCAGGTTAGCCTCACCTCTATCCTTGGCAAGACTTTTGAGAAAATTGTTAGGGATCACATTTGTGGGGGACCAGCGGGTAAAATAATGCTAAGGGGCAACAAAAGCATGTGTTCATAGCAGGCAGATCCTGCCTGACTAGCCTGGTTTCTTTTTACAACCGGGTCACAAAATGCTTGGATGAAGGGACAGAAGTAGATGTTATTTACTTTGATTTTAAAAAGGTCTTTGACAGTGTTGCACCCAATTCTTAAAAATAAACTAAACAGTTGCAAGTGTAGATTATTACGCAGTCCAGTGGGTGGAAAATTGGCTTATGGGATGCACCTAGAGTGGTGGTGGATGGGTCAGTTTCTACCTGGAGAAGTGTGGGGAGTGGAGTCTCCCAAGGCTCTGTCCTGGGACTGGTACTGCTCAATATCTTCATTAGTGACTTGGATGAGGGAGTAAAAAGCACCCTGTCCAAGTCTGCTGATGACACCAAACTATACAAGGTAAACAAATTAGAGAGCAGGGAGTGAATCCAGGCAGATTTGGGCCAGCTGGGGAAGTGGGCGGAAGAGAATAGGATACACTTTAACAAAAGATAAGTGCATGTATTGCACCTGGGGAGGAAGAATCTTCAACACACATATAGCCTGGGAGGTATCATTCCAAGTAGCACAACTGCGGAAAGGGATCTCGGAGTTGGAGTCAATTCCAAAATGAACATGAGTCGTCAATGTGATGAAGTAATAAGTAAAGCTAACCAGACTCTTTCTTGCATCAGTAGGTGCATCACAAACATGTCTAGGGAGGTGATACTTCCCCTCTATACGGCTTTGGTCAGGCTGCAGCTGAAGTACTGCGCCCAGTTTTGAGCGCTGCACTTAAGAGGAATGTAGAGAACCTGGAAAGGGTTCAGAGTCTGGTTGAAGGCCTACAGGAAAAACCCTATGAAGACAAATTGAGGGACCTGAATCTCTTCAGCCTCCGCAACAGAGGGCTGAGAGGTGATCTTGTAGCTGTCTACAAAATCATCAGGGGGGCAACAGGAAATAGGGGATATGATGTTTACCAGGGCACCCATCAGGGTAACTAGAAACAATGGTCACAAACTGAAGGACAGCAAATTTAGACTGGACATCAGGAAAAAATTCTTTACAGTGAGGACTGCCAAAATATGGAATACACTTCCAAGGGAAATGGTGCTATCACCTCCCTTGGAGGTATTTAAGAAGAGATTGGACAAACACCTGGCTGGGGTCATCTGACCCCAGCACTCTTTCCTGCCTGGGGAAGGGGGTCAGACTCGATGATCTAATAGCTCCCTTCTGACCCTAAAAATCTATGAAATGGAAGATAGGACTCCAATTCAGTTTCTCATATTTTCTTTTCATCAACTTAGCTGCATCACTGCAAACTCCTAATATGTGTGTAGCTTACACTGCTACAACTTACCACAGTTCCAAACCATGGCACAATGTGTCCTTGTTAAGGTTTCTGCAAAAGTAGAGCCAAATCAGTAGAAACCACCTCTTCCTGCACAAGTACCTTTCTGCTTAGAGTGGACACTAATCAGATTAAAACAGGCAACTGCAAAAGGTATTCCAACATTCTGCAAATCCAAATTCTTGTTTCCACACGATCAGCAGCACATCCATCCTATTAACCATTGGCATTCGTCTTCAAAGAACATGAACCAAATTCAGATCTGAAATAATTTCACTTTGGATGAGATGCACCAACCATGAGTAATATGGCTTATTATTCTAGTCTTAATTTAATGCAATGCAATGCGTTTCAAGAGGATAGTACAAGGAGGTTTCACTTTTAATTTAAGTCCTTTCCCTAAAAATAAGTCAAAATATGTACATTTTGCCTTCTAGATGTGAAGAATGTCAGTTTTCAAGCATGTAAATCTCACTTTTGGTACCTGCTGCGCAGTAAGTGGAAACACACCAAAAACAGCCCAAACAATGTTTTGTGATCATCCACTACAAGGGTATGTCTGGAAGCGATATAAAGTCCCTGTACATAATCCAGAATTTACATTCAAGTTCTCCGAGTGCGTATCAGTGATAAATTAAATTTAAAAAAACAAAGCTAACTTTATGTCCCTTGTTCATAAGCAGTGCTCAGGATTCATTGACACCACCTCTTGAGGAGAATGAATCTCTTCCATCCTTTGCTTAATCCAATATAACATTAAAATATTTAATTGTAGCATTGTCACTTAACTCTGCTGGATAAATGCAAAATCTAGTATAACAGGTGTGCACCGATTTACTTCTCCTTTACTTTTTCTAGTTCATTTTTTGCACTGGATATTTTGATATCTTTACCTGCCTTCTCTCATTCCTTCTCTCTTCTTCCAAGACTCTTACTTTTTATGTCTATGCATTATAGTCCTTCCTTTTTCCTCTACTCTCTTCAACCTCTTTCCAGTTCTTTAGGTTCACAGAAATCAACACACTTCACAAAAAGGAATGAAAGGCAGAGAGAAAGAGGGGAAAAGGGGCATTAAGGAACCTGTAGGTTAGCAGGAGGAAGAGGTGTGCCACCTGCAGTCTTCTTCCTACTGGCAAACTCCTTTCTTTCTGGGATCCCTGCCTAAGGAAGCAGTAGTATACGTAGGTCTCTCAGTTCCCAGAGAAGTCAAATGAAAGACTACTTCTTGGAAGGTGTTTCTTCAACCTTGCCTCTTGTCAGTGAAGAGAAGGCAAGTGATAGCAGACCCAATGTTAAGTTCTACAAGCAGAGTAAGAAAAAGCTCTGAACAACTCTCTGCTGGTTCAGTTTGGTCTCACATTAAAGCTCCTCCCTGCTTTGCACCATCCAGACATATACCATATAGTCCAACAGCCCACAACTACCTGTTGCTCTGCTGAGACAATTTTTCCCTTAGTAGAAATGCTTACAGCTTCAGTGCAAATCAACAGCGACTTGAAAAGGTAAAAAGTACTGTGACCAGCAAAGCACATTGCAACAAGTTACAAACTATCTCCGCTAAGAACTAAACGTTCTATATTTTTCAAAGGCTCCAGGTGAATCGACTCATCTGAAGTAAAGTTCAGATATTACAAAGGATATAATTTGGAGGAAGAAAGTTCCAACTTAAGACCTGATTGGCTAGTGCAAGATAACGCTGAAACACCGAAGACATCTGAGCATTGAGGTTTTCACGTCTGCTGAATTCCTGAAGTACCTCTACTGTAAGCATGAAGATCTGCCGGAGATCATCCTCCTACAATCACAACAAGCGTACGTGATTAAATGGATTTTCTCAAATCACATACTAGATTCTTGATCAGAAAAGGTTCAAGAGAGGAAGGAAAATTCTTCTCTTTAGAAAGTCTGTTTATTCATTAAAATACATGAAATATTATGAAAGACCCTACTTTTTTTCCTAGTCTATAAAACAGGATTTAAAAACAGTTTAAGCCTGATTTTTCATGAACAATACTAATTAAGAGAAAAACATAAAAATACCTCTAAAAATTAACAGAGAAGGGGATCTGGTCTTAGCTTATCAATGCTTTTGTGCCAATTTCACAGCAATCAAAGAATTTAAAGCAAATCTTTCACAAAAACATTTCTCCATAGCCAAACAATACATCTGAGACAACCAGACCACACCATCTGCAATAATATTTTTAAATACATGGCACTCCTTGGCTTTAAACCAAAGCTATATTTAAGTCTATCATTGTTCCACAGAGCATTAGTTTTATCTGCAGAGGATTAAGAGTACTACTACTGTATAAAGATCTAGAGATCGAGGTTCATAAAGAGGTTTAAAAATGTTACATGGTCCTGAAGCAAATATTTTTTAAAAATTGCCAAAATGTTTTCTAAAATAAGGAATTAATATATGGGTTATAACAGAGTTCTTATGCATAAATTTTGATTGAATACATATGTTGGTACATGAGAACTATTTTAATAAAGCTAAATAGTCTGTATTAATACACATTAATTGTTTTACCTGAAATATACGTTTACAGTTACCATGGAACTCCATGCTTAATCCAATGTTGCTGGTTTTACTTGAACTTGAAAACTCACTCAACAATGCCGTTAAAATAGAACAGGCCAAAGTTTGCTATAAAAAAATAAAAGGAATTACAAAGAAGTTCAATAATGATGTTTAATTATATTTTAAATTACTTTATTAAAATATTCTTAGAAGATGGCTGAAAAAGTAGTCAAACTAGAACAGTGGCTCACCACCTTTCCTCAGATCATGAAGCACATTAGAATCCATTTATTGGGCAAAACATCTCCCCTTATCTAAAGGATTTTGGTATTTGGGCAATATGAAAAATTAACTTTAGTAGAGTATAACAACATGAAAATGCATTTGCTTTACCTACAGATTTACCTGGAAACCATAAACTATTTCACTAGCCATATTATTTATTTCTTCTCCCTGTGTCTGGGTTTTTACATTTATTACTACTAGGGAATATTCTGCTTCCAGCATCCTCCATTGGTCATATCTGTTCAAATAATTTGAAGTTTATTTGGGCACTCCATTCCATTTGCTACATTTACCATACTGGCGTCTAATCATGATTAAGTCACCCCAAACACAAAGCTCGTAAAAACAAACAAACAAAAACCAACCCCCCCCCCAAAAGCCCCCTAGAATCACCACCAAAAAAAGCAGAAACCTTGGCAAGATTTAAAAGAAAGCATCATTGCTTGAAGACATAAGCAAGCATACAAGCCATTAGAAAGCACGTTACCAACTATA